CAAATCCATCTCTGGCCACCTGTCCTCACCCCACACCACTAGACTGGCAGTGACTACACAGGGAACCACTTCTGGGAGGAAAATCAGGAGTAAGCGCTGTATCTTCTTGCTGTGTGGTTAACGCTCTGCTGGTGTTGCTCCTGAGCTGGTGCTCGGCAGCATCGGGAGTGCGTCTGTCCTGGTGTAAAGGTAACGGCAAGACAAGGAGAGAGAGACGTGCATCGGCAAGTTCTTGCTTTGGCACAGCTGTGTTGCAAAACTACATCTTTTGCTGTTTTTTATCTTAATCTCCCATGCTAGGATAGGATGGATAAGCCTGTGGAGGTGCTTATCCATGGATGACAGAGCTGGCTATACTGGAGGTAGCAAAAACATGTGTGACATGAATCCCCCCCATCTCTCTCTGCTGACCAGCCATCACTATCACTTCTCCCCATACTTTGGATGACCTTAGCAGTGCGTCTCCAACTACCTCATCAGTTCTCAAGCCCTGAGATAGGGACTGCAGGCTCACAGCTGCCCATGGGTATGAACCAGTTTGGTTTAGCATCTCCTGCTCTCCTCAGAAGATAAAATATTTGAGCAATAATAGGGGTCAGGTTGGAAGAAAGAAGGAATGAATCTATAAAATTGGATATGAAAAAGCTCTAAATGCTGAAGCAAAGCTCATGCCAAGGAAGTAAGAGAAGCAAAAGGAAATACGTCCTTTCAGCTGAAGAAGGGAAAAGCTCCTTTCCGTCCCCTTGGATCAGTTTGAGATAATAAGGCTGCTGCCTCTCTGATTAGTGCTCTGTGGCCCCAACCCAGGCAGGGAAAATCTGCATTTCAAATGGCATATTTTAAAGTACACAATACCCAGGGGCCCTGCTGCTATTGATTTTCCTCTGGTGGGGTCACTGCCTCACTTTCTACAGCTTTATTAACTGGGACCATACACTGGGCTTCTTTCAAAGTGAAAGGAGAGTGGATGGGACATATGTCTTGGGTGGGAGCTGGGGAAGGAGTGGGATGACTTTTATTTGAGCTCACTTGGGAATGCCCCGGAGGTTTTAAAGGGAGACTGGTGACCCTTACAGGACCTGCCCTTCTTTTGTAAATTTCCCTGGAGCCACCCTGGGTACAAGGAGGTAGGTCTATGCCATCAGCTTCTTTCAAGGTGACTGAGTTCCTGTCCTCCCACCCCTGTGATGCTGCTGCACTCAGACAGGCCATGGCCATCAGCAGCTGGGAAGGACCCTCCTCCCTTTCCCTTTTAACATTTACCCCTGAGCACCACCAATCAGAGAGAAAAGGGCATGAATGGGGAACATGACAGCAGAAGGGTGTCAGGAGTGTTGTCAAAGGCTGTGATGTGGCTGAGACATGGTTGGGGTCCTCTCTTTAGCCAAAAAAGCAAAGACAGTTAGGTGGGGTGCATGGCTGTGTTCAGGTATGGGATGCTGTACTCCTTCCAGCTCTGGAGGAGACCCTGGTTTACCTCATGGGCTGGCTCTGAAGGCTACAGAGAGGTGTACATCATCTGGGTCATGAGGTACAGGGCTCCAGTTCGTTTCACCATGCCAGGGAGGTTTCCAGGTCTCCAGGGTTTCTAGGGTACCCCCAGAGCACTGGGCATAACAGAAACGTGTGGCTGCTCACTGCAATGCCTGTTGTTACAGAAGCAACTGAACCTCGTTTCCCAAATCACAGGTTAGGGCTTTATTTTTTCCTGCATTAGCTATTTAAACTTAAGCTAAATTTAACCTCTTTGCTGCTCAGGCTCCTAATTCAGTCTCAGTGGGAGTATGGCCATTTTTATGTGACTATTTCACTAAAACCCACCAGGTTTTAGACACCTCATCCCTAATCAGCAGATTAGGATCACCTTGTTCTTATAAGGAGAGAGCAAATACCTTCTTCTTTCCAAAAGTCTGTGACATAAATGCATGAACTGCAAAAAAGATCATGAATGTAGCCAAGGTATATTCTACAAGCATCCATCTTCCAGTGCAAATTTATAAGCCCTCTGAATTCACAAGAAGCCACACACTCAGGTTACCTTGTGTGCAAACCAGGAGGCGCACCTGCCATTGCGGAGTTAACTCTGAACACTTACAGACATCCGTAAGCAGGAGGAGAAGTTGCATAAGCCATAAATAATGTCACAAGTGATTGCCTAGCTCTGCTGAGTGCAAAATTGAGATTGTCTTTGGAGTAGCACAATCATTTGTACTACCATTGGCAATGAAGTATCTTGTAGATAGAGACCTGTTTCTCTTGCAGCACAGACGAAACACAAAAGAATCAACGCTTTTCTTTTAAATGGTTGGGAACCAAGGTCCTAAAATACACGCTGAAGGCCAAGTAAGGAGTAGGAATTATTTGATTTGACTATGTTGGTACGTGCAGCTGAACTGATCTCCCCGTACAGTCAATAGGGAGGAACAAAGCTGCAATTCATCTGCCCAGAGGCATACAGGTAGAGAAGGGAGAGATGAATCTTGGCCTAGATTCCTCTGCCTGTTATCACATCAACCGTAATAGGTGATCAGCTCAGAGGAAACTCCATCCATATGTAGTTTACTGAATCTGACAACGGGAAATGTCAGAACCATAGTACCCTGCCTGACCTAGAAGGTCTCTGGTACAAGCAGCAGTCTGTTATCTGCTGGCCAGACTGAGCATGGCCAGACTGGTGGTATGCCACTCCTTGTTTTGGGGAGGGTTTGTTCATGCAGCTCTGGTAAGCTTTGGAGAAACACAAAGGAAAGTCAGCAAAGATCAGAGTGGAACTCTCCTCAGCCCTTGCAACAGTGTCCACCTCAGAGAGATGCTGCTTTGATCAGCGTCACTAAAAAGATCCTAGAGGCCCAGATCTTAGACATCATTTCTGCAAACAGGCAGTTATGTGCTCGGCTGTCCCCAGGTGAAAATACCCATCACAGAGAATGAGATACAGGTCAGCATACCCAGCGCTGGAGTCAAACCAGTGCTCAGGATGGATGGATGGATTCTCCCTTCCTCATTCACTCCATTGGCATACTCGCTAAAATCACCTGCCCAGTGCCTCCACTGGAGAATAAACTCAAACGATGCCTAGAAACAAATGTACTCCTTAAAGGGGAATCAGCATTGTGCTAAAATAAAAAAGACTGTCTAATCACTCCATCAGTAATTACAAAGAACAGGATATCACTAATTAAAATGTGAAAGTGTCTTATGCAGGTTATAATAAAAAAAGGGTAATTAACAATCAAAGAGAAAACCCCCACTTTGCCACCAATCTGCATTAGGCTGCAAAAAATAATAGTACTCCACTCTAGTACAGCACTTTCTGTCTGTAGATCTGAAGGCATTCCTATATGGGGAGATAGGTATCCTGTGTCCCATTTTATCGCTGGAGAAACCAAGGTGAGTTTACATAGTTTGTCCACAGTTATACTGCAGGTCAGTGGCAGAGCATCCTTTACTTTGGTCTCTTTACAGGTGGTGACAAGGAAACTTTCAGCATTTGAATGAGCTCAGTGATTTCAAGGGTTTGTTTTAGCGTGTATGTGTATGAACAGCTAATTCAGCTGATATTTCAGTATTAAACCAAACAGTAGGGAACAGTCTGTTCCTTGTCGTGACTTTTGAGGTCTGTTTAATGCTGAGAAGCGTGTCCCGTGTGCTTAAACAGCAGCATCAGAGGGTTATTTCCTGATGGGAGAGAGAGTGAAATCAGAGAGAGCAGCAAAACAGAGGTACTCCGCTATTGGAGGCAGCGGACACATTAGTCACTTCTAAAATCACTACAGAAAAACCGTTTCCTTCTCCACTATTATCAAGTCACGCATTACCAGACTGGGGAATGAAAAGAGTGAGGTTTTGCTCTCTGCTCATCCTCGTTCTCCCACACTTTCTCTAAGCATTCACCACCAGTCACTAGTGGGGGTTGGATACAGACACAGACATACCTCATCTGGCGCTTCAAATAACTCCAGGGAAGGGAATGTGAGGCAGCTTCATCCAAGCTGCCTTCTCCGTCACACCGGGAGCATTTTACTAGCCCACTGCAGCCACCCTGAACACACGAACTGCGACTGTGTGCTAGGTTCAGAGTCTAAATTAATGATAGCCAAGTCTGGTGATAGCAAAGTCTGGTTTTAACGTAAGAAGCATTTCCAGCATGCATAACCATTCATGACCCTTCTGCTCCAAAATTTTTACCACCAAATGCCTGAAAATAGAGCCCGAGTTCCTCGTTTCTGCCTTTTGTAGGTGCCCTGAAAGAAGAAACATTTTGATTACTTTCTGGAAAAAAAATAAAATTAAGGAAGTCATCCCTGATCAAAACCACAGGGAAGGCTTTTTCCCACTACACAGCATTAATCTTGCTAAAGTAGGGATGGTTCCTTCTCTTGTACAGCTCTTCTGGGAGTCTCTGCTTGGCTGTGTTAGAAATAGGTGCTGTAATCTGTTTAGGAGGTTTGGTCATGGCTTTGCTCAGTGGTCGCCGGAGGCCTCCCAGCAGCATAAGAAAAAACGTTTTTTGTCACTTATGGATTGAAACTAATCAGGTTATCCCCAGAGAACTAGCTAAGCTTTCTGCTCTGGAGAGGGGATCCCCTCTCCCCATCACTCCACATACACTGGTCTCCCATCAGCAGCCACCAGTGCTTTCCCAGAGCTTTGCTGTAAAAAATGCAAGCCATGAAACCTCTCTGCTTAGAAACATATAAAGTCTTTTCTCTGCCTTTCTCATCGGGAAAGGACCAGGGAGTAAACTCATAGGAGACGTCCACACTGGGGAACACATCGTGGGAGCGGGGACCATAAGGGTGCCAAGATGCAAAGAACCACTTTGCCTTCAGCCCCTACCACGAGAAGGAAGGCTAAGGCTGGGGGGTATCACAGGCATGGTGAGCTGACATCTCAAAACAGAAGGATGCCTCACGCTCTCTCCAGGTCCTCATCCAGGTGCTGCGGGCTGCCCTGCCAGTGACCGCGTGATGTTTTTTCCCTGCTCTCTTTTGTTCCAGCTGATGCAGCAGCAAGCCGCGATCATGGCGTCCGTGGCACAGGGCGGCTACCTGAACCCCATGGCAGCCTTCGCCGCCGCCCAAATGCAACAGATGGCGGCCCTGAACATGAACGGCCTGGCAGCCGCTCCCATGACACCAACCTCAGGTAAGTGGCCGGCTAGGGGCAGAGGGTGAAGTGCAGGAAAATCTGGGCACATCCCAGAGGAGGCCTGGCAGGACATGTTAGCTGACGTGTTCAACCTCAGTGGGTGTTTACTGAAATGTTAGTCTTGCAGGTAAAGACCACCAGAAGCAAGGAGTGGAGTCAACCAAATCTTTCAGTGGTCTGGGAGAGGGGAAAGGGGCAGAGAAAGGCTGTTACCACCTCTGTCAGGGTTGGGGCCAGCTAACAGTCAGCTTCCATAGGGCGAAATAGTCGTAAGGGCACAGCCAAAGGGCTCTCCAGCAGCAGGGTGCTGGGCTACCTGCTCCCACCTCGAGTGGGTGGGAGAGGAAGAGGGCTGAGACCCACCAGAGCCGGAATGCAATGGGCTGGTTGAGGAGAAAAGGTGCTGGCAGGGAAGGCACTGGAATGGGCTCTCAGCCATTACTCTTCCCTCTCAGCCTTACGCAACTTCCCTTTAGCTCTGAGCACCTCCCAAATGGCACAAAACATCCCTCAGTGACCTGCAGTGGTTTATTGGTGGTGCATATAAATGTCCAAGGGATCAGTGCTGGTGCTGCTACAGCCAGGCTGATCCAAAGACAAAAAAAAATTAGATTTGTCATGAGAAGCAATATCATTAACAAGATGTGCTACGTCTTTGGGACGCATAAGCCTTTCCACTACTATGAAACAGGACAGGAGGTAGTTGGGAAAGACTTCTGGAGCTACCTGGAATGCAAGTGTTTGGTGACACGGTTTCTGGCTGCTGGAGCAGACACAGGTAGTCAGTGCAAGGCTGCCAGGATTGTCTAGGCTTTGAGGTGTCACAAGAAGCCCATGCTAGAGACTGCAGTATATGGTTCACTGGGCACAGAATTAAGCTGAGGTGGAAACAGTATTGTCTTTCCTGGGGCTTGAAGCACAAGGAAATTGTCTGGGCAAGAAGAGGTCAAGGAACTGGCAGGCCTGGTAGTCATGGAGTGGCATGTGGCCTAACAGCGGGGAAGCCAGGCAGCAGGGA